TGGCAAGTCTCCTCCTCTACAACTTTGAAATCTGAGGGCAACATGTCTCCTCCTTCTTTACAACTTCCAGATCAGAGAACGATAAGTCTCCTCCTCTACATATTTGAGATTTGAGGGCGACAAGTCTCCTCCTTCTTTACAACTCCCAGATCAAAGAACGATAAGTCTCCTCCTCTACATATTTGAGATTTGAGGGCGACAAGTCTCCTCCTCTACTAATCTCTCTCTCTCTCTCTGGATGAGAACCCTAATCTAATGACAATAGTATTGGTTCAGAAGAAGATAGATTGTTGGAGGAAGAGAAACCATCATTTGAGTTTGGGTTTTTTCTTGGATTGCCTCCTCTCAACAGTTTTTTTAGGGAAGAGGTTCATTGGAATTTGGAATCAATAGTATTAAGGTGTGTGTGCAATGGGGCTACTGTTATTGCTTGCTAGATATCTAAACGACAAGTATCCTTATATACAATGACAGGCATTTTGCCCAACGTGGGTTTTCTACAATTTTTTGTAATTTTCCAGTAGCTATTTATATTGTCTATAATGTCTGTTATTTTTCTTCACTCTATGTTTTTCTATGATTTTTAATATCATTCTCAAATTTCTGTTCTTTTTTTCTGCAATTTCTAGTTTTCTTTGTTTTTTTTTTCATTTTCTATGTTTTTCTATAATTTTTATTATATAATTATGCAATTTCAGTTTTTTTTGTAATTTTCTGTTTTTTTTTTTAATTTTTTTTGTAATTTCTATTACTTTTATGAATTTTTGTGTTTTTGTTTAATTTCTAATATATTTCATGCAATTTCGATTATTTTTATGTAATTTTCATTATTTTATCTAAATGGATTGGGTTGGGTTCAGGTGGGTTTGGATTGAACCCAACCTATTTAATTCTATCTAATTGGGTGATTAATGGGTTGGTGAATTAGATGAGATGGGTTGAAATTCTACCCAAACAGAACCCAACTCAACTCGCCCAATTACCACCTCGATTATGATGGGGTTGAAAGCTCATAATTGTAAACAAAATGAGACCCTGACTCCAACCCCTACAAGTATCTTCCCGATTGGGAATGGAACTGAGCTGAATTGGATCGATCCGAATCTAATTCAATCCAATCAAATGGAAAGATTCCCAATTAACGACTGAATAAAGAAACTAACCCTAGAAGGCCAGGAAGATGTTTGAATAAATTTGAATTTAAATTGCTAAAAATTCTTAATATAGCAAGCGGGTGTTGGTATCTTTACAGGAAAAACTAGTAGTGGTACATGAATTGGTTTGCTACCTAGCAAGGTGTAGACCTGCAAACGAGCTTTAGTGCTATTGGTTTTCAGTGATCGAGAGAGAAAGTGAATGGTTTTCCATGGACGTTAATGCAAACGCTACTCTGAACACCGACAAAACCGTCACAGAGAGGAACGCTAATGATGGGGTTGAAGTGGTTGTCATGATCTCAAGATAAAACATGCATATCGAAAGATGCAGGAGCTTGTTATTCCTATTCGAAGGATTTAGAAGCTTTATCTCAGAAGAATACTAGCTTGGGATCTCAAGCTTCAAATGCAGGGCCCTTGGAGCTGGATAGACTTAAATCTGAAATGCAACTGTCAACACTTACGAGCTGCCCTTCTCCATATTTGTCAAAGGTCATTTTAAGTGCAAACAAGCCTTCCAAAATCTCAACAAAAGGCCTAGTTCAGAGAAAGTCGATGTAAAGGTTTATTTTTTTCAAAGGCTTTCAAATGTTTGAATTCTTTTGTGTGACAAAAGAATATTTTAGGGATTTTGAAAAAATATATGAGTCACATGAAATTACATGTAAACTATTTATGACAGACGAATGAGTCACATGAAATTACATGTAAACTATTTATGACAGACGAATTAACTGTAGGGGAGGTTTAAGACAATTATCGGAAAGAAACAACAAGAGTATTTTAAGACAAGATAGACAATAAAGGTAACTAAATTATAAGGATAATTTAAGAAATTTGCCCAGTCTTTACATGCAAATGGTACCAAAGCAAAGCTTTGTTTTTTGAGTTTTTTTTAATGGGTAAAATACAAAAAATCTCCCTTAAAATTTCTGACAATCATAAAAACCTTCCATATAGTTTCATTTTAGCAAAAACCTCTCATAAACTTTAAAAAAAATTGACAAAAAACTCCCTTCCATTACTGACTCACACTGAACCTATGCATAATTTTTTCCAAATACTCATTTTACCCTTTTATAAAATGGTGGCGGAGGGTTTCTTCTTGGTCCGTACGAGAGAGATGGAGTTGGGTTTGAGATTGGGAGACACCTCCAACGCCTTCGCTTTTGCGGACAAGAGTCATAAGGTTAGCGCCAAAGCTCTAGGGTTTTGCATGGGCTTAGGTGTTGGGATTGCTAACAGTAGAGAAGACAAGAACTAGAAGCTGATGAACGGGTTTATGCTTTAAGGGATGCAGATGAAATGGAGGAGGAGAAAAAGGATTCTACCGATCCGCCTATTCAGCTTGATCTTCTCCCTCCTGGTCCCGTCCCTCGTAACCCGCCTTCTTCGCAGCTTTGCTTTCATGGCCAACTGAAAATGGTAATACTCGATGCGGCCAAGCGTCCACCGATATCTCCACTTTTGTTTTGTTATATTTGTTCTGTTAGGCATCTTCATGTAGTATTCTCCCTCCTGTTAGCTTCTCGCCTGCTTTGTCTTTTTTTTTTTTTAACTGATCCCCATTAGATCGAAGGAGGAACAGAAAGGAAATAAACAAACAATGAAAATGAAGTAAGAAGAAGAACCCATCAAAGGTTTGAGAGGAAAAACCAGAAAGAGTACCATTAACATAGTAAATAACAGTTATACTTTCAAGAGTTAACAGCAAAAACGAAAAAAGCTAGCTACTTTCTCAGATATCTAAATATGACAAGAAGAAATAGCAGATTTCTCCAAGACAAGTTAGAGAACAGAGCTTCCCATATCTCTGAGAAGACCTCGACGATCACTCTGTGATGATGAATGGAGTTCAACGACAGAAAGCACTGCAGAAGCTGCTCGTCCTTGGCTGCAAATATCTGCTTTTCGATGATCATGTCTGATGTAATGCAATCTGGCTGCTCCCTGTAGGAGATGATCTGGCTATCAGTAATGGTGGAAACTAAGAAACCTGCAAGAGATGAATTAGAGAACCCGGGGTGGCTTACCTGGCGAGGTCACTCCGACGGTTAAGTTAGCACTTAGTTGTGAGCTGGAAGATGATATAAAATTGTGAGAGCTAGAGAGCAAAGATTACGCATACCTCCGCCCTTGGGGGGTGAGGTCTTTATATACTGGAGTCCTCGCGGGTTTGGTGGAGTAGTTCCTGGATCCCCGTGATGGGATCTGTTTCCGTGTTAGTTGGGGATAATGCCACCAACCGGTAAGGTTGCCCATTTCCGCCTGAATCGGGGAGTGGATGAACTAATGTAGCCGTTACAAGGTACGATCCTGTAAGACGTGGGGTACGATGGTGAGATCATTGGAATTACCACGCGGCGGTCGGTCTGACTGGGAAGCGAGTTGCCTGTAAGGTGTCAACCTGCTTGGTGGCGAGCTACCTGTGAGGTGCCGAGTTGCTTGGTGGCGAGTTGCCTGTGAAGTGCTTGGTGGCGAGCTACCTAGTGGTGAGTTGCCTGTGAAGTGCCGGGCTGCTTGGTGGCAAGCTACCTAGTGGTGAGCTACCTGTGAGGTGTTGAGCTGCTTGGTGGCGAGCTGCCTAGTGACGAGCTGCCTGGTGGCGAATTGCCTAATGGCGAGCTACCGGGCTGCACCTACTTGTCATGAGATGCCATGTGTCATAATGTCATTGGAGGGCCCTCATCAATCTCCACCATTGATGTCCTGAAATCACTGTAAGGATCTCTGGAGCGCTTCACTACTGTGAAACTTTCCTGCACTTTCCCCCTAGTGGAAAACGTACTGCATCCCATATCGGAATTCTTCTCACTGCTCTTCTCTGTTCAGCTCTGGTTTCTGATCTCCGGCGAGAACTCTTCTTGTTTAGGTGACGAGACTCCGAGGAATCAGAAGAGAAGCTCCTCGATGAGAAAAACGTCTCTGTCTCGTCGTCTAGTTAGTATTCCCTGCTGAACCACCCACCACCATTAGTTTCTGCAGACAAGGATTTGAGATGGTAGAAACTCTCTTTCTTCTTCTTGTACTTCCTGTGGGTCTTCCTAGTCTCCTTCGGCCTTTTCTTTCTCTCATTTGGTTGAAATTCCTCAAAACTGTAGAACGAATTCAGAGGCAAAATGGGTGACGCAGGAGGACATGTTCTTCCTCCCATATCACCCGACACGAAACATGGGCCATGTTCCGATACCTTCGACCTCTGTAACACCTCCTTTGGAGCGACTGCGACAGTCTCGTTCCACACCACCTTCCATTGTTTCCGACCATCTGGATCTGCACATAGATGGAAAAATTCGAACCTTAGGAGACGAAGGCTCAAGCAGATGGAAGTCTCGGCGGTTTTGAGCTACGAAAGTCGGCCTTTCGATAACATCCGATATGTTTCGAGGCTTAAAAGATCCAAATGAAGAACGAAACATGCGAGAAATCCGCATCTTGAGTCGAGTCTCCATCGAAGAGACAGATAGACAGACAGTTTGAGAGAGTAGAAGGCTAGTCTTCTTCGAATGAAAATATATACTGGAAAGGAGCAGGAGAATGAACTCGACTATAGGAGCATTCGATGATCGGTGTACGTGCATCGTGAGGAAGAAAGATGAATAGTATTCGTAAAAGGGTAAAATAGGTATTTTGAAAAAATCTCTTTAACGCTTTCGAGGTATTTGTTGAAATTTAAAAAAATAGATGGAAGATTTTTGATAAGTGAAACTATATAAGGAAAGTTTTTATGATTGTCAGAAATTTCAAGGGAGAATTTTGCATTTTTACCCTTTTTTTTATTTTTATTTTTTTCCTTGTAGATTTGTGCACTGAACCATTTCTTCGCATGCAAGTTTTCTTAGGAGCAGTACTGAAGCTTTGTGCAAGTGTAACTTCTCGCACGACTTTTTATGTATATATATGAATGCGAGTCACTCGGAGCTTTCCACCTGCTGCTACCTCCTAGTATCTTTTAATATCATCAGCAAGACGAAGACTGGCCATAGTTTGAGGTTTGAGCTCTCTGGTTCACTCACTATCTTTAGTATTTACGACCAGGATCTGATAAGTTATGAGGACTCCGAGAGAACACATCGAAAAAATAAGAAGGGAGAAGTTTTCCATTGGAGAAGAAAAACCGAATCCGCTAAGAGAGGATATGTACCAAGCTGTCAAATTTCTCTCTGCTGAGCTCTATTCCAAAGATGTTCATTTCCTTATGGAACTCATCCAGGTTTTCATCATCATCATCATCTTCTTGTAGTTGTATACTGTTAAAATGCTTCGCTGTTTTATTTTCCCATCGTTTGATGGTGATATGATCTCGATTAGGCTTGTAAGAACAATTGTTTTATTTCGTTTTTTTTTTTTAATTTGCTTATTATTTTTAGTTGAATTTGATCATCAAAATGAATGTTTACAGAACGCAGAAGACAACGAGTATTTGGAAGGGGTGAAGCCATCGCTGGAGTTCATCATAACGACCCGAGACATCACTGCTACGGAAGCCCCTGCAACTCTTCTGGTATTCAACAACGAGAAGGGTTTCGCTCCAAAGAATATTGAATCCATTTGCAGCGTTGGGCGCTCAACAAAGAAAGGCAATCGTCAACGCGGTTACATCGGAGAGAAAGGTATACCATTCCATTCCTTTTGGTTACCTTCGTTTGTTGCACCCATGTGGATTTTGATAACACTTGTAGCTATGAAAACTTTGATTTTCAACTGTCACTGGCCTTTGTTTAGGTATGATTAGAGCCTTAGAGGGTCTGAAACGCAAGTTGGGAAGACTTGGGTTCAGGTCATACTAGAATCACGCATTTGACATTAATACCCTTCTTATTGGCATCTATTTATAATAATAATAATAATATTTATTATTATTATTATTATTATTATTATTATTATTATTATTTTTTATTTTAAGGCCTATCTACCCTTTGAACCAGGTTAAACCCCGAGTGTATCCGAAAGCCCCGATACAATACTTATAAAAAATTTGAACCTTGATTACTATTATTATCATTATTATTATTTATTTATTTAAGCAATACTATTAAATATTATTTCGTAATATTAAAAAGTATTATATAATAATAAATATTTTACTAAATATTTATTATTAGTTAAATCATAAATAATTATTTATTCCAAAAATCATAAATTTTGTTTATTAATAGAATATTATTTTTATTATTTAAGACAATAATTTAACAGTAAGGATACGTTTGTCAATTAGCTAAACAGTAAGAATAATTTAAGAAATTTATCCTAAATAAAATTCGAACTTAATTAAAATTTCTGAAATGACTGAACCCAACAACCTAATTAAAATCCGACCTCTAAATTTCCCTCTTATCAGAATAAAGATGGTGCTTGCGTTCTCTCTCTCCCCCCCTCCCTCCCAGTAGATGATTCGGTGCTTCTGATACAAGATTCTGTTTCTGATATAAGATACGTTTTCTTTCCTTTTGGTTAAATGGTCTATTAAGGCTGTATTTGGTTGCAATGCAAATAAATTTGTACTGATGCAAAATTATGACAGTGCAAATGATCTATGTATAAATTTGATCAATTTTTATTTTAAAGTTTAGCTTATTTTGTTTGATTGCATTACAAATGAAGTAAATTAAGGCATGGAGTAGAATAAGTAAAACCCAAAATAAAATTAGACGAGAATTTGCATTTTTTCATTTGCACTTCCATGCATTTATACTGGTGTTAATAAAATTGCATTGCAACCATGGTTTTCAAAACCGGACTGACTGGACGGTCGGACCGGAAAAACCAGGAACCGGTCACCTGACTGGTTCCGTTTTTCCCTAAAATTTCTTTTTTTCCCCAAAACCGTTAATTTTGATCAACAAACCGCTGAACCAGCCGATTAACTGTTCGAACGGTTTTGACCGTTTTCCAATTTTTTAATTTTTTTTTTATTTTTTTGTCAAAATGGTTCGGTCACTCGTTTGTTTTTAAAAACCATGATTGCAACCAAACACAGTCCAAGTGTCGCCTTTGATAACCTAGTTACCTAAACTTGAAATGATTAATATTTTTGCATTTCTTGAAATGGTATTCTCATTATTGAATCATTTAAAAATGTATTGTACAAGATTTGTGTAATTTCTTGAAATGGTTAATAATTTTGCATTTCTTTCTTGATATATTTCACAATGTCACTGAACATATAGCAGACTTTATCTCGTGGATGCCTTGGATTGATATAGGTATTCTTTTACGTGCTTTTCTAGACAACCTAAACTTGGATATTCTGCAGGTATTGGGTTCAAGAGTGTCTTTCTTATCACAGCACAACCTTACATTTTCAGTAATGGGTATCAAATAAGGTTCAGTGAAGAACCTTGTCCAGTTTGTGACATTGGATATATTGTTCCCGAGTGGGTTGAGGCAAATCCCACTATTGCTGATATACAACAAGTATTTAGTCCTTCCAAATCCCTTCCGATGACTATCATGGTCCTGCCTCTGAAGCCTGATAAGGTAGGACCTGTGAAACAGCAGCTCTCAGGCATACACCCTGAAATTCTACTATTTCTTTCCAAGATCAAACGTCTTTCTATCAGAGAAGATAATGCTGACCCTAGCCTTGATACGGTTAGTTCAATCTCTATTTCAAGTGAGACTGATTTCATTACAAGGAAGAATATTGATGCGGAGTCCTATACACTTCATCTCTCCGCTGAGGAAAATGGTGATGAACGTGAAAAAGAATGTAGCTATCACATGTGGAGGCAGAAATTCCCCGTTGTGCTGGAAAATAGGATGGAAAGGAGTGAAGTTGATTGTTGGGTGATTACACTGGCATTTCCACATGGACAACGCCTTAATAGGGGAATGGTCTCCCCTGGGGTCTATGCATTTCTTCCTACTGAAATGGTCACAAATTTTCCCTTCATTATTCAGGCTGATTTTATTCTAGCATCATCCAGGGAAACAATCCGCTTAGACAGCCTATGGAACCAGGGGATTCTGGATTGTGTCCCCTCTGCTTTTGTTAATGCCTTCATCTCACTTGTGAAAACAACAGAATCTGCTCCAGTATCATCTCTGCCCAGTATTTTTGAGTTTCTACCATTGAACAGCTCCATGTATCCTAAGCTAAATGCTGTGAGGGAGTTGATCAAAGAGAAACTGGTTGAGGAAAACATCATTCCATGTGAATCGGATATGGAGCAAAAATTCTTTTGTAAGCCCAATGAAGTAGGTAGGGTTATGCCTTCTTTCTGGAATATCCTGATCAAGGCAAGGAAGCAGGGGGTGAATTTGCATAATTTGTCATCCCATGGGAAGTATGTTCTGAATGTTGCATTTGATAAGAAGCAATATGATAATATCTTGAATTTCTTGGGAGTGGAATACATGGATGTGGAATGGTACTCGAGGTGCATCCCGAGTTCTAATCTGGTACTCGGAGTTTCTGAAGATACCTACGTGGAGCTTCTCTTCTTTATTGCTGATAATTGGATTTCCTGTTTCCGGAACACAAATATCAAGAACATACCCCTTCTGAAATATGTTGGTCACAATGGGTATGTGTCTTTGTGGAGCATAAATGAAGCAACACGGCGGAATGGTGGTAGAGCATTTTTATCAGAATATCCTAATTATGTCTCATGGTTAATTGATTGGAACCAGGAGTTCAAATGTATAGGAGATTGGTTCTTTGTGCCGAAAAGCACTCAGAAGGCTCTATGTCTACATCCAAAGAAGGAGACAATAATTGAATGGCTTTCAGATAATGTGTCAATTAGTACCATAGGTATATATAAGTTTGCTGTTCATCTTATAAATTCTATCAACAGTGACAGATGGCTTGTTATTGCTCTTGCTCATTTCTTGTATCACTCTCTCTCGGAATATTATCTATCTGAGAGCGAAGTTCATCAACTGTGCAAGTTGGATAAGATGCCCCTTGTAGATAACTATGGGTGTGTGACCACACTCAAAAGTGCAGTTCTTGTCCCTGCAAATGGAAGTAAGTGGGTGCGACTTATTGGCTCAAATCCATGGAGAAGAGAAAACTATGTTGAATTAGGAGAAGACTACCTATATGCAAGTCGTTTTGCAGGTGTTCGTACATCTGAGAATCAGCTTATGAAGTTCCTGATGACTTATGTTGGAGCTTCTGATATACCAGATCTTCATCCTCCTAATGCTGTATTTCCTACAGTATCTTCCCCTTTGACTAAAGAAAACACATTTTTGTTGCTGAACTGGATCCGAAGTCTGAAAACTAGAGGAATACAATTACAAGGAAGGTTCTTGAAATGTATAAAGGAAGGAAGTTGGCTGAAGATTTCTTTGGGTTGCAGTTCTGGTTACAGGCCTCCATCACAGTCATTCTTCCCAACTACATCATGGGCAAATATCCTGCAGTGTGGCTCTGTGCTGGTTGATATTCCCTTGGTAGATCAAGGATTCTATGGTAATGAGATAAATGACTACAAAGAAGAACTAAAAACAGTTGGGGTGATGTTTGAATATGGGGAAGCATGCCGATTCATTGGGGACCATCTTATGTCTCTCGCAGCTTCATCCAAGTTAACCAGAGCCAATGTGCTTTCAATACTCAACTTCATAAAAATTTTGAGAGAGAATTATATGCCTCCAGAAAATTTCATCAGGAGTATCAAAGAGGGTCAATGGCTAAGGACTCGTCAAGGTTACAGGTCTCCTGTTGGATTGATTTTGTATGATTCAGAATGGAAAGCTGCCACACAAATCAGTGACCTACCGTTCATTAATCAGGACTATTATGGGGAGGAAATCCTTAACTTCAGAAAGGAGTTTCAGTTACTTGGAGTCATAGTTGGTTTCAACCAGTATTACCAGCTTGTGATAGACAATTTCAGGTTCCCTGCATCCTGGAATTCTCTTACGGTTGATGCCTTCTTCTTGATACTGGAGTGCATTCGGCATTCTATATCTTCTCAAAATCTTGTTGGACTACTTAAAGATAAGAAGTGGTTGAGGACCAATATGGGCTACAGGTCACCATGTGAATGTTTCCTGTTTAAATCTGAATGGGGTTGCCTTTTGCAGGTTTTCAGTGATTATCCACTGATTGATCACAATTTCTATGGAGCTCGTATTTACTCCTATGAGAATGAGTTGAAGGCAGTGGGGGTTGTGGTAGATTTTGAGCAAGTAGCTAAGGCATTTGCTCGTTATTTTAAGTGGAAAATATCTTCTTCCTCCCTAAGGAAAGAAAACATACTCTCATTTTTGGCATGCTACAAACATCTAAAGAAAGGAGATTATAAATTTCCTTCTGAGCTTAACAAGTGCATCAGGGAGGAAAAATGGATCAAGACACGTCTGGGCAATAGGTCACCTGCGGAGTCTATTTTGTTTTGCTCTGATTGGGATTGTATCTTGCCTGTTGCATTGCTTCCTTTTATAGATGATAGTGACAACGGTTATGGCAAGGGCATCAAAGAGTTCAAGGATGAGCTGAAGGTGTTGGGAGTTGTAACTGAATTCAAGGAGGGGGCAAAGTTTATTATTGATGGTATTACAATACCCCGGAATCCTAGTCATATGACTCCTACCAATGTGATTTCTTTGTTAAAATGCATTCAAAATATGCAGCAAGAAATGGGGCATGATTCCTTGCCCAAGTCATTTCTGAAAAGAATCAGTGGAAGATGGTTGAAGACCTATATGGGTTATAAACCTCCAAATAACTGCCTCTTGTTCGATTCAAAGTGGAGTATGTTCTTACAGCGGGAAGATGGACCATTCATTGATGATGGGTTTTATGGCTCTAGCATCAGTTCCTATAAGAAAGAGCTCCACGCGATAGGAGTTACTGTAAATGTTGCAGATGGATGTGAACTGCTTGCCAGTTACCTTGAATCCCATTCTCAGTTTAGTGCTATATCTCGAATCTACGAATACTTGAGTAAATTTAATTGGGAGCTGGAAAATAAAGCTTCTACAAGGATTTGGATCCCAAATGGAACTGCCGGGGGAGAGTGGGTAAGACCTGAAGAATGTGTCCTTCATGATGGGGATAGTCTCTTTGGCTTGAAATTGAATGTCTTGGAGAAACACTACGACACAAAATTATTAGGCTTCTTCTCCAAGGTATTGAAGGTTAGGTGGAGGCCTTCGATTGATGATTATTGCAATCTATGGAAGGATTGGGAAAATTCAGGATGCCCATTGAAATATGACGAATGTTGTGCTTTCTGGCTCTATGTTTTACATAACTGCTCTTCAAATTCAAAGTTCGAGATACTTAGCAACAGCATGTCAAAACTGCCAGTGGACACAGGCTCAGGTGAAATTCTGTTAGTTGGAAAGCAAGATGTGTTCATTCCTGATGATCTGCAACTCAAGGATCTCTTTGAGAAGGCTTCTATGCATCCTTTATTTATCTGGTATCCTCAACGGGGCTTGCACTTTATGTGCCGAGGTAAGCTATTTGAAATATACAGCAGTATTGGGGTCCAAACTATCTCTGAAGCCGTAAAGAAGGACCAATCTTCCAAACTAGAATGTGTTGAACCCAATCAGGTAAGACTTAATGAAAAACTTATTGGGAAAGAGCTATGTAGACTCATTCTTGGGTTTCTAGGTGATCCTTCACTTGAATTGAATGTAGAGAGGAGGCATCAGATCCTCAAATATCTCCTTGATGTTACTGTCTTTGAGACAGGAGAACCAATTTCGGTAAGTTATACCTTGCCATTGTCTTCTGGAAATAATGTCACTGTCAGGGCAAGCCGCATGATCCGTTGGGAGAGAGAAAACTTGAAGCTGTTCACCCAGAAAATGGACAAATCATCTGGGCACAAAACCAAAATTGAATTTGCGACAAATTTTTCTGAGGTGATATCTGAGGGGTTGTTATGGGATAAAGAAGATCGAATTGCTGGTCTTTGTGAGCTTATCAAGTTGGGTTGCTTGTTAGAGTTTGAAGAGGACGCAACCAATTTTCTGATGAAGAGCAGAAATCTGCAAGTCTCCATGGAGGATGAGGAATTCCTTTCTTCTGTTTTCACATCTGACCGACTTTCGTGATGCTTATGTCTTCTATAGCATGGTTATGGGATTCTGGTTTTGCTTTAGTGGTTTGGAACGTGACTCTCTCTCTCTCTCTCTCAGGTTAATGATGTATTGATATAGTTGCACTGCCTATATTGGACTGTAGCACAATTGACTGTCATGATCTATCATGCGATATTCTACTGGTTCAACTTTTGTAATGTAAATTATATTTTCCCATCAAAACCTGTGTCAGTCATGAGTTAATGAATGGATCTGTCATACTGATGCCTGCATTTTATGTTATGTTATGAATATTTATAGGGGAACAATCCGCTTATAAGGGACTCAGGATTCAAATCATCCTTAATGATCGGATTCGCATTCAAATTCAGATAAGCAGATATGCCATCCTAGAATCTAGAATAGAGTAGAAATGGAGTGGGAAGAGCAAAAATAAACAGTCAAATAAAATTTGGGTTGGTAATTTGGTATAATAAAGATTTGAAACAGAGAGAAATGGTGTGAGTGGGAGCGTTCTGGGGGGCAAAGGTGATGGAGGTGGTGATGAAACATGACTCTGGAGATCTTGTGTGGAAGATAATAAAGTTTACCACCAGCAGAAAAGTCAATGCCAAGAAGAGGCTCCTCTGGGTTTAGCAGGTCTTTCTCTCTGAGCATCAACAACTACTGCTTATTCTCAATGATCTCCACTACCCCTTGCATATAAACCACAAATCAAAGGCATGAATCTTATCATTTGAATAAATAAAAATCCTTCAAAGCTAGGTGTTTCTATATCACAGCATCTTTAATTTACTTGTTTCTGGTATTAGCACTAACTGTTTTTAACTTTTTATTACTATTTCATTGTTTCTGGTATTAGAATTTACTTGTTTCTGGGCTGCTCTTTGATTGTTTTACTAATATTTCTTTCCTTTCAGAGGGTATAGAAAGTGCGTGTGTTCCTATTGGTTTTAATTTTGTTTATTGAAACATTTCAATGTTTCTTTCCATTATGATTCCCTTAACTGATCCATGTTTTCAGAGTAGAATCTGATCAGTTCCAAGTTGGGGAAATTAGCAATTGGATCAAATGGGGCTAGTGTTACTTGGAGTCGGTAAAAGTTAGTTTTTCGTTGTGGAGGCGATTTTAAACCATGGTTGTAGTATTTCCAATTTTCTTCTGAGGTGACATATGAAATAACTCAGGAAGCGGATACCAAAGGTCAACTTTGCTTCATCTTTTTATGGTTCCTTTTACAGTTTATTGTTGCATTGGCTTTTTCCCTTCTCTTGGCTAAAAGGCTCAATGTTGAGTTAATGAAATTTGTTAGGAAAAAAGAACGTGTTGAGTTAATGATGGGAAAAGGGCTCAAGTTTTACTTGTTTTTAGTTATTTTGATGTTCATTAGTAAAACATTGTGTTTGTTTCAATCACCTAGTGCAATCCTATTGTGCTTAACTATCTAAGTACAATTCGGTCTCACTTCCCTACTTTTGTATTTATTTTGGGTCATAATTTGGATATTCCCTAGCAATATGATGTGGGAATGAAATAGCTAAATCTAGATACCATAGCAGTATCCACTTTATGATCATGTAGAACTAATGTTGTCAAAACCTTATTATTTATAATATGGTTCACAATTCAAATTGTGAATCCCAAGGGTTTCCATTCACATCTTTTTTTCTTTTAACTTCAAAATTTACTTTGGGTGGAGGGGCAGCCACCTTAAAATTTTATTTGCAGAATAATTAGAAACAATATAAATAGTACAGCGGAGGATAGGATTAGGAATTAATGTGATAGAAATGCGAATGCTAAGATGGATGAGTGGAAAAACTAGAAAGGATAGGATCAGGAATGAAGTTATATGTAGGAACCTAGAAATATCTCCAATAGGTGATAAAATGAGAGAGAGTAGACTAAGATGGTCTGGCACGTGCATAGAAGACCACCAACTGTGCTAGTTAAAAGAAGTGATTTGGTACACATTGAAGGGGCTAGAAGAGCTCAAGGTAGACCAAAAAGGACATGGGTAGATGTTAGGAACCTGCCTAACTCAGGGCTCTTCGAGGGGCCAACCTCCTGAATTCTTGGAAGGAGAGGGAGAGAGAGAGAGGGAGAGAGAGAGAGAGAGTTTAATGCTGAAAGAGTCCTCCTCTATTCCTTTTCTGCTCTACTACTTATAGTGTTACAATCTTGACTGTTACATCTGTTACAAGTGGATGGCAGTTGTTACAAGTGGCTGGTTAGTTGAGCTGATGTGGCCTCCTCTTGTAAACTGACTAACTGCCTTCTGTTGGTCTGTTCCAACAGTCTTGACAATCCAATCGGATGGCAGTTGTTACAAGTGGATGGCAGTTATTACAAGTGGCTGGTTAGTTGAGCTGATGTGGCCTCCTCTTGTAAAACTGACTAACTGCCTTCTGTTGGTCTGTTCCAACAGTCTTGCCAGTAGTAGTAAGAAATGATATAAACACTAATAATTTAACCGTGGATATCACTTTAAATGGAACAGATTGGAAAAACAAGATTCATGTATCCAATCCCATATAGTTGGGATGATGAAGAGTACAGGGGAGGACATAGCCTGCCTTGCCCCAAACCCAATACAAGAGCACACCCTAAAACCCTTAGCCCCATCCATGACACTATCTTATTCTTAATTTTAGGATTTACAAAGAGTCATCAAATAGGCAACTTCTAACAGAAGATAGAAAGAGAGTCAACCTTGTCAAATGCATGGCAGTACAAATTGTCACAAGAAAAGTTTGTCAAACTATCGGCTACCATGTTGTGGCTGTTTCCTTCCCTCAAGATATGCACTAACTCAATAGACATATCTGCAGTGCAGCTATACACCTGGTCTAGAAGATGCAAAATTTTCCAGGAAGACCGGAATATTGCTCTTGAAAGTTAGCTTTCCCAGCCCCAAGGCTCTAGCAAAGTATAGTGCATCAATATACTTTTGGGGAAAAAATCCTTATGGTTACTGTTTGAATCTTACAATCCAATTCATAAATCTTAATGTTTTGTTCTATTTATGCAATTAGAATCAATTGGATAGGTTGATCAAAATCTACTTGAACACATTTTTGAGTTTATTGTGCATCATATGTGGGTTAATTAGTTGCTTTGTGTGGGCTAATAGACTTTGAAGGCAGACTTGACTATTATTTTTTGCTTGCACTGTTCAAGTGATAAACGTTGTAATAAATGTCTTGCATTGCTGCCTTGATAACCATGATTTGTCATTTAAAAACTATTCTTTTGATCAATAACAATAATCAAGGAAAACCTGCTTCATCAGTCTTCACTCAGAAATTACTATGGATTGGGGTCTGAAATGGTTTGATCACCCAAATCAGATCTAGGTTTGGCAGCTTTGGCTTAAGTGCCTGTGACTTGGTGTCTGTATGCTGCCTTGATAAATATGCTTTTTCATTTTAAAACAATTTTTTATCAGCAACAGTAACGAGGGAAATTTTATTAATTTAAGAAGGAAAAACCCACCGGATCAGTTAACTTTATAGACCAAGGGGGGCAATACAAACCGATCAAGGCTTACTCAAGAAAGACAGCTCAAGTGGTTGGAAAATTTACAAGTAAGCCCCTGTCTCTGGAAACCTCCATTCTAGTTCTCCTCTAGTAACTCCTGCCCGGGCCATAGTGTTAAAGCCATTAGCAGATTTCAATATCCATCTGAATTCAGATTGGATGTTAATTATCTTGCTTTTTTCAGCATGTGTCTAATAACCCAAGCATTTTTTATTTTGACATAGAAGGGGGAATGACCTGCCAGCATTGTTCATGACCAAAAGATTTAGCCTCCCTTGCCATATAATGGACAGGCATAGAAGGGGAGTGTGGTGGATAAGTTTCTATGAATGGGCCGCTGGTATATCTTCTCTAAGGACTGGTTTTATTTTGACATATCAATTGTCAATGCATCATAAATCTCACGCTTCCATTAAAGAATATCAAAAAGCAATTTAGGCTCATGGGATTCAGTGATCTGCATTGAACAACAAATAACTTCATTGGTACCCATTGGGATGCATGGTCTTAAGATTTTCATGGTTATTAGTTGCCAGAGTTTCATCTACTGCATCTATCTCTTTAGGGTTGTTAATGGGTTGGATAGAACCAACAGACCTGAACCAAACTGATTCTAATACAGGATCTGGGTCTGTACTATGTGTCCCAATTATCATATTATGACGTCCAAATGTGTCAATTTAACAAATAAGTAGGTTAGTTGTTAAATTGCAGGTTAAAAAGTATAGCTATCAATGATCTGGTTCGGAATTGGTTCTGCACGTTTATTTGTTGGGTTGGGTCTGAGTCTCCCTTGACCTGGTCCAGACTTGACCAATTTGATAGGACTATGTCTCTTACATCAAGAGATGCAGACATGAACTTAGCTTTTTTTTTTTGAGTATAATGTATTGCTCTGTACACTTAACCTTTCCATTTATTTGTGGCTCAAACCTTCTGAACAAGAAAATGAGCAGTACTCTCCTTGCCTGATTAGATATTACGAAATTCTTTCTTCTTTTTTCAGGCCTCGTAAGTTGATATTGGATGGAATATCTATTTCTTTGGTAGCCAGCCACGACAGGGGCCTTGGTTCCTGAAGACTGGTTAATGGAATATCTGGTATCAAATATATAACATAAATATAATTTTCTTTTGTGCCTAGTTTTATATCAAAACCAATGGATCTAACTTCATTATTTAGGCATTCTTGCCTGTGTCTTACCGTTGTATAGAACATGGATAAATGGCACGTGAAACACTGTTTTATTTTAGCTTTTCTTGGCTTTGAACTTACAATTTTCTCATTGATTATAGTATTCATCTGCAGTTAAGATAAAGATGGAAGGAAAATCATTTCCTGAAATCTGAACAATATTATTGCCATCTGTTTAGCAAATGCCAATGATTCCATTCTAGTGGTGAACCTATGCTATTGAATGCAGTGGTAATGATTTTGTTCCAGGTAGCATTCAAATATTCTGTTAATTAACCACATGCACCCACTCCAAGAAATGCAATAACTTGTAAAGCTCCATGGGTGCTCTCATGGGAACAGGGGCGATTTGGAGTTGTGGGAATGACCCACTTGGATATGGGGGCTCGTTCTATTAGTAATTCCCACTGTGTAGGAATTACTGCTTTGCTTAAAGATGTTCAGGAATTATTGTCCAACCAGGTGTAAGCTTTGCAACATTTCTCTTGGGATGTTTCTCTCTTGTAGATTTTTGGAGAAATGTTATGATATT